ATCACCACTAACGGAAGCAGCAGGCAAGAAATCAACTGATGTATTGCATTAGGCAACATGGCTGTTGCACAAGATCTCTTTAAAGTGTTCAAGAGCAATGATACCAGTTTGAGGACTAATGTGCACCCGACCTAAGCCATGGTATTTTCGATAACCTCATATGCAGGCAAAGTTGGACATTGAATAAGGAAGACCATAGAAGAATTGATACATTTGAGTTCTGGTGTTGAAGGAGAATATTAAAAGCACCATGGACTGCTAGAAGAACAAACAAATCTGGTATTAAAAGTAGAAGTAAATGTAGGAAAAAAAAGATAAATGACTATACTTTGAACTATTACTAGTTATTTCAGTGTAGTTAATGTAAACAAAATGCATCATTTCAATTTTAAGGATTAATAACTGATTAAAAATAAATTTGAAATTAATTTTCAAAAAGAGAAATGGTTTTCTAAATATATAAGATTCAGAATTTTAACATTATCTTTTCGTACTTTATCAGAAACAGGTCTCCAACCATTGTTTTCAATTCGACGATACCAGCCACTATCATCTTGCTGGGAATTATCACTTTTATCATGAGATGTATGTTTTGGTGGAAGTTTCGTGTAATCTCTTGGGCTGTTAGCACACAGATCTTCAATATGTCTGTGAGTGAAAATTTTATAGTATATACTGGGTGGAAATTTAACCTGTAGGTAGAAGAATTAAAAATGCAGATGCAATTCAATTATAAAATGTTTCAAATATTTTTCATATTTCATACAAAATAAATTTACTAAATAAGAAATTATCCATACTTACTCCACCTAATCTGAATCGTACAATAACACCTGCAGCAGCATCTAGAAGACCAGCCTACGAGAAAAATATATTACTCTTTGGCATTCTCTAATATCAATTCACTGCTTCTCAATCTATTATTGTAAAATTATTTCTTAAAACCAACTATCTATGAAATAGGCTGACTGAACTAACCTCATGTAATTAATTTTAAATTAGAAAATATTTTAAGACCTAAAGACTTTCACCAAAGTGGACATTCAGGTGGCTAACAAACACATGAAAAGATGCTTATTATGATCATTAGCCATTGGAGAAAGGCAAATAAAAAATACAATGAGATACTATCTCATCTCTGCAAAATTGGCACTAACCAGAAAATCAGAAGACAACAAATACTGACTGGCAAGATTATGGAGAGATTAGAATTCTTCTATACTGCTGGTGAAATTGTCAAATGGTACAAACAACTATGGAAAATGGTATGGCACCTCTACAAAGAGCTACAAATAGAAATACTTGTGACCCAGCAATCCTACTAGGATAGGTATATATCCTAGTGATATGAATAAACATATGCACATTTCCACATAATTCACAACAGCTAAAATATAGCAACGACTTAAATGCTCACTTACAGATGATTGGGAAAAAAACTTGATCCACAGATACAGTGGAATGCTACACATCTATTAAGAATAATGTAGAGTCCAGATAACATCTTATGTTGTTGTATGCAGTCAAGTTGGTTATGATTCATAGTAACCCTGCATAGGGTTTCTGATGGGTTTGGACCACTGATCTTTTGGTTAGCAATCCAATGCTTATCCTACAGCACCAGGATAAGCATTGGGACACCTTAGCATGGATGAATCTGAAGGACATTGTGTTGAGTGAAGCAAGCCAATCACACAAAGACAGATATTGTATGGTCTCACATTTATAAAAAGTTAAGAATAGATACACATATATCAAGTGATAGTGACCAGGGAGGGGAGGGAAAAGGAGAGGGAATCACTTTCTAGATAGTAGACACTTGTATTTTTGGTGATGGGAAAGGCAACACCCAATATGGGTGAAATATGAACAATTTGATCAAGGCAAATTAAGACACTAAGAAGTACACAAGAGTAAGGAACAATTTCAGCAAATGCTGTAACATAAACAATTTTTCAACAATAATAATAACCAAAAATGTGAGTGTAGTTATACAGGTATATATGTATGCACATAAAAAGACATATGTGACTACATGTGCATGCATGTATAGGTGCTACATATATACTCATATATGTAATAAAGTACATAGTTGTTTTTAAGTGCCATTAAGTCTGTTCCAACTCATACTGACCCTGTATAGGGTTTCTGAGGAGCGGTTGTTGAGCTTGAACCGCCAACCTTGCAGTTCAAACCAACCTTGCAGTGCAGTGCATTAACCCGCAGTGACACACCAGGACAGTTATCGAGGCTTCTTAGACATATCCAAACTCCTTGCAGGATTGGTTTACTGAGTTAAAAGTCTTAGAACCATAGTCGCTTGGAACAACTCAGTCAACTGACAGGACACAGTTCAAAAAGATAATGTTCTAAGTCTGGGGTCTTTAATGCTTGTGAGTGGCCATCTAAGATACAACTATTTGTCTGTACTCACCTGGAACAAAAGAGAACAAAGGAAACCAAAGACTCAAAAAGTATTAAAATAATAATAATAATAATATTTAATTAATTGGATATCAATGGAATAATAAGAAAGTCAACCTCACATCATAGACAAAATAAACCCCAAGTAGATTATGAAACGTAAATTAAAAAGCTAGCATAATAAGGAACTCTGTTAGCGTAGTGGTTACGAATTGGGCTGCGAACCACGAGGTCAGCAGTTTGAAACTACTAGCTGTTCTGTGGAAGAAAGATGAGGCGTTCTGCTCCCATAAAGATGTACAGCCTCAGAAACTCTGTACAGGGTCACTATGAGTTGGAACTGACTCCACGGCACATAACAACAACAACAACAACAACAATACAATATAATATGATAAATAATAATAATAACTTTTTGAACTTGGAAAAGTTCATTAAAAAGCATCAACCATACAGAAAAAAATTAACAAATTTCACTAAGAATTCTGTTAATAAACTCTTCCCCCCTAAATTGCTGCAAAATAATGTAAGATTTTGGGAAAGTGGCTAGAGATATAGATTAAGACAGATTGGCCATGAAATGCTAATTGCTGAAGCTAGGTAATGAATACATATTGACCTATTAATCAATTTTTTTCCATTTTTGATTCTGTTTGAAATTTTTCATAATAAAAATCAAAGAAAAGTAAATGGAAGAGAAATGGCAAGCCACTGAGTGAAAACAGATACGGGTAAAACCAATCATTCCTAAAGGCATTGATTGTATACAGAAGGTAAAACGAATTGCTAACATCTATTAAGATCAGCAAAACACACATACACACATATGGACACACACACAAACACACAAAAAGATACAGACTTGAATAAGCACTTTATAAAAATGGTGAGGTTGTAGAGCACCAAGAATTCCCAAAGTTTGCTGGTGGGAGTATAAATCAGTGGAAATTATTTTGGCTACATCTCCTAGAATCAAAGATCTTTAGTTCTAAGTGGAGTAGAAACAAAATGAATACACGTGTCCATCACAAATCCCAAATATGTCCATGGCAGCAGTCTCTGTAACAGCTCCAAATTGGGAATGATAATGAATTTCAGTAAACTGTAGAAATGAATAAATAGTAGTAAATTCATAAAATGAAATACTGACAAATAATACAAATGAATTAAAATGAACTACACAGACTCTCTGGTAGCGTAGTGGTTACGAATCGGGCTGTGAACCACAAGGTCAGCAGTTTGAAACAACCAGCCGTTCCACAGGAGAAAGATGAGGCTTTCTGCTCCCGTAAAAATTTATAGCCTCGGAAACCCTGTACAGGGTTGCTATGGGTCGGAAACCGACTCCATGGCACTTAACAACGACAACAACACACACACTCTGGTAGCATAGTGGTTACAAATTGGGCTGCTTAACCTCAGGATCAGCAGTTTGAAATTACCAGCTGTTCCATGGGAGAAAGATGAGGCTTTCTGCTCCTGTAAAGATTTACAGTCTCGGAGACCCTGTACAGGGTCACTAAGAGTCAGAATCGACTCCACGGCACAGAACCACCACCACCACACAGACATAATGTTGAATGACCAAAGCTGACACAAAAACATATTATATCTACTCTTCCTTTGTCTTTCTCATTATCCAACATTTTGCATTTACAACAGTAAAAAATAATTACTAATATTTTATTTTGTGCATTAACAATGCATGTCTGGCAATAACTAATGCCAAGGTCCCTGGCAGGTTCCCTGACATGGAGAATCCACGTGCACATAGAAAGGAAGCTCATTTATTGAATAGTATTTCACCGAGGGGGTGGAGGGAGGATAACGGGGCATAGGCTCCCTGAGATGCCCTAGTGGAGGGAATGTTTGCATCCACAGGCTGAACTAGGGACAACAGTAGCCACTGTCCTGAAGGTGGGCCACCCTAAGGGCCAGGATGGAAGTGGGCTCTAGGGACCTGGATCCAACTCCTCGCCCAAAAGGGTGGCAGAGATGTGCTGGAATGTGGTCAGAAGAAGCCTTGAGGTGTCGGGAGCCTACAGACGCCACATAAGCTGACTGGCACCTGTATAGTCCCTTATGCTTCCTCAGGACCCCTCTGGATGGACACAGGTGAAGGTAGGTCAAGCTACCTGGGTAAGGGTGAAGTCATTTGGTCAGTGGCCAGTGGCAGCTACAGTTTTAAGGTCAAGGGCAGACTAGGCCTGGCCAGTACAGTCTTAGAGAAAGCTCTAGATTGCCAAATTTCAATTGGACGTGGGGGTAGAGGCAGGCAAGGCTACCCACCCAGAGACAAGGAATGCTGGGGTGAGAGGCCAGCAAGTAGACCCAATAGTTAATGAGCACACTCCCTTCCAACCTCCCTGTAGCACCCAGACCCTCTCACCCTACGACAGGAAGCCTCTTGCTTCTGACAAAGCTACCAATGGTGTTTGGGATCATGGAGAGGATGAACCGGGCCTTCCATTCTGAAAAAATGGTGAGGGCAGGAGAAGAAGGGGACCAGGGATGGAGAGGGAGCTGGTGCTTGGGCCCCCTTTGTTTTGGAAAACTAAGCAGTCCTCCCTTATATGCAGAGTTGGGGGTCAAGCTCTCCTGAGGTGACATGGCAGAGGGAAGGCGGTGGTGGCAGGGGCCTGATAGAACATTCACGGTACAGGTGAAGGGGTGCAGGTCATCCTCCATTTTCACACAGAGCTGATTTTTGCATAACGACCTGGTCTTTGAAACCTAACCATGTTGAGAAGTGAAGAGTGGATATGTAGGATTCTATTCAGAGTTCAAAATCACAGAAGTAAAGTAAAATGTCAGATAACCTTTTGGAAGGAGGGAACTGGCTGTGATTTATAGGACACGTGAAAGGGGTGATTTACAGTATGAAAAGTTGAGTTGGGTGAAGGTTCAACAGGTATTTGCTTTTTGGTAATTCATTAAGCTATACATTTTACTTTTGTAAACTTTTAAAACTTTAATGAAAGTTTTTGTTTTTAAAGAAACAAATATGAGCACAGTGAAATAATAAAGTAACCAAAAATATGTAAGCGGAAAAAAAAATCAATAAGACATGCTCTTACCTCTTTAGGATTAATATACCTCACTATTTGTTGTGGCTCCCCTTGTCTTCGTATGCTTATCATCCTTTTAAAGTGTTGGAATATAGCAACATCCTAGAGGTTCAAACACATAATACTTGATATTCAAAACTGGATTTTTCTAGCTCTAATTGCTTTTCCCTTAGTAGAGCAAAGATAAACACAAATGATAAAATAGATTGTATGCATGTAAGCTAATTTTGAAAATAATATCCACTCAGCGTTGGTGCAACAAGTTAAGCAATATTGATATTGTTTCTATAAAGAGTTTTATCCTTGAGTTTGTAAAAGCATCATTAGCAAATATATATAAAATATCCAGAACTTTGGTTGGGTATATGCTTCAGAGTAGTCTGAGCTCAAATGTTAGCACTCACTAGCTGTGAATAAAGCATTATGAACATGCACAGATAATGGGTTTTTCTAGAAGCACTGTGCATGTAGAAGCATAGCAAGTTGCTTACTCTGTCTGTGATCAGTTTTCTCAACAATAAAATGGGAATGATTATAGCTATCTCATAGAGTTATAATGATGAACAAAGTAATTGATATTTGTAAAGCACTTAAACAACATCTGGAACTAGAAAGCTCTTAAATAAATGTGGTTACAAATCGGGCTGCAAACCGCAAGGTCAGCAGTTTGAAACTACCAGCTGTTCCGTGGGAGAAAGATGAGGCTTTCTGCGTCCATAAAGTTTTACAGCCTTGGAAACCCTGTACAAGGTCGCTATGAGTCGGAACTACTCCACAACACACCACCACCATTATTAGAATAGGAGCGTGGTGGTTCTGTAGGATAAGCACTGGACTATGAACCACCAGGTTGTCTGTTTTGAGGCCACCAGTTGCTCCGTGGGAGAAAGATGAGGCTTTCTGCTCCTATAGAGGGTTGCTATGAGTCGGAACCAACTGTATGGCACACAACCACCACCACCACCAGAAAACCCTACAGAGTGGAGATTGGTTGGAAGTGACTCTTAACAGTGACAATTAATGACAATAACATTATTATCATTACAGCATCCTCCTCAATCTGTAATAATTCCAGTAATTCACAAACCATATCCATTTTTCACATTAACTCAAATTTGGGCAAACGACTCCAAAACAATTTCTTTGTCTTGAAAAAGCCATTGCTTTGGTAACCCTCTCCCTCAGACCTTAAAACCACCCTCTAAATCAAAACACCTGTTACTATTAAGTCGATTCCAACTCAAAGTGATCCTACTAGACAATGTTTCCTAGGGTTTCCAATGCTGTAATCTTTGCAGAAGCAGGCTGGCACCACTTTTTCTTGTGAAATTAACCCAGGTGGTGGTGGTTGTGTGTCACCAAGTTGGTTTCAACTCATAGCGACCCTTTATAGGTTTCCGAGGCTGTAAATCTTTACGGATGCAGACAGCCTCATCTTTCTCCCACAAAGCAACTGGTAGATTCACACTGCTGACTCTGCAGCTAGCAGCCCAGCTGGTAATCCACTAGGCTACCAGGTATGCCCTGCCCCTCAAAATAAACAAACAAAACAAAAACCTTAAAAACTCTTAGTAAACATTTCTTTCCAGTTTCCTTGTGTAAAGTAAGTTCAAATGGAAGTAATCTACAAAACCAATATGATCAATTGAAGAACCACTGCAATAGCCTATGGAAGATAATGCTGCCTACTTGAACATTAACAGTATTCTGTCTCAAAGGTAGATATATTTCCCCCAAGTAAAATCCCAAATTGAGTATCTAGAAATGTTTATGATGGCTTTAAATGTAAAGAGCATCTTTTAAATATGTAGGTTACTGTATCAGAGGTTACAATATCATTTACCTATAACATGTACGAGATCACCCCAAACTTAGTGACTTAAAGCAACAATCATTGATTATTTTTCACTTTTTATGAGTTAACAGGGCAGTTTTGCTGATCTTGTTTAGACTCATTTAGTGGTTGTAGTCAGCTGCTAGGACAGCTGGAACTGGGTGCTTTAATATGGCCTCGTACACATATCTAGGGCCTAAGCTTATGTATTGGAACATCTGAGTTGACTGGACCTCTCTTTACACATAGTCTTTCAGCTTGAGCTTCTTTACAGCATAGAGGTTTCAGAGTTCCAAGAGAACAAAAGTAGAAGTTCAATGCCCCTTAAGGCCTTGTCTTATAAATCATGCATATCACTTATTCCACATTCTATTGATAAAATTTAGGATCTAGCAGACTCCATAAGGTAAAGAACAAAGTTGACCTATAAGAAAGTTCCATACATACTACAGTTCACTCAAGTATGAACCTGAGGAACATTAGCGCTGAGAAATACTTCTAGTGGGCAGCCTCAAGCAGCACCTGTAGCCCACTGCTTTTGAGTTGATGTGACTCATAGTTACACCATAAGACACAGTAGAACTACTCCAAAGGTTTTCCAAGGCTGCAAATCTTTATAGACGCAGACTACCACATATATGATAGGGATGATAATGGCCACCCAAAAGATGTTTCTGGAATCTGTGAATATATTATATTACATGGCAAGAGGAAATTAAAATTCCATGTGAAATTAAGGGTTGAAGCAGTGCATCAACAGGGAGCTGCCAGAAGCTCAAGCTGAATTCAGAAGAGGATGTGGAATCAGGGATAGTGTTACTGATGTCAGATGGATCTTGGCTGAAAGCAGAGAAAACCAGAAAGAGGTTTACCTGTTTTTCACTGACTATGCCATGGTATACCTAAGCCATGGTATTTTCAATAACCTCATATGCATGTGAAAGCTGGACAGTAAATTAGGAAGACTGAGGAATAATGCGAAAGAACAAACAGATCTGTGTTGGAAGAAGTGCAGCCAGAGTGTTCCTTGGAGGCCAGGATAGCCAAACTTCGTCTCTCATACTTCGGACATGTTGTCAGGAGGGACCAGTTGCTGGAGAAGGATATCAAGTTTGGTAAGGTGGAGGGTCAGAGAAAAAGAGGAAGCCCCCCAGCGAGATGGATTGGCAAAGTGGCAGCATCAATGGGCTCAAGCGTGGCAACAATTGTGAGGTTGGCCCAGGACCAGACAGTGTTTCATTCTGTTGTGCATAGGATTGCTATGAGTCAATATCGACTCCATGGCACCTAACAACAACAACAACAAAAACAACATGCAAAGGCATTTGACTGTGTGGATCATAACTAATTATAAGTAACATTGCCAAGAATGGGAATTCCAGAACATTTCATTGTACTCATGCAGAACTTGTACACAGACCAAGAAAGAGTTGTTTGAACAGAACAAGGGGATACTGTGTGGTTTAAAATCAGGAAAGGTATGCATCAGGGTTGTATCCTTTCATCATACTCATTCAATCTGTATGTTGGACAAATAATCTGAGGATCTAGATTATATAAGAACTAGCATCAAGATTAAAGGATTGGGGGAAAATTCATTAACAACCTGTGATATGTAGATGACACAATCTTGCTTGCTAAAACGTTAACAAGACTTGAAGCACTTGCTGATGAAGATCAAAACTACAGCCTTCACTATATATTACATCTCAACATAAAGAAAACAAAAATCCTCACAACTGGACCAGCATCATGATAAATAGAGAAAATATTAAAGCTCTCAAGGATTTCATTTTACTTGCCTCCACAATTAAAGTCCATGGAAACAGCAGTCAATAAAACAAATGACATACTACATTGGAAAACCTGCTGCAAAGGGATCTCTTTACAGTGCTAAAAAGCAAAGATGTCACTTTGAGGACTAATGTACACCTGACCCAAGCCATGGTATTTTCAATCGCCCCACATGCATATAAAAGACCGACAATGAGTATGGAAGACTGGGGAATTGATGCCTTTGAATTAAAGTATTGGTAAAGAATATTGAATATACCATGGACTGCCAGAAGAACAAACAAATCTGTCTTGGAAGAAGTATGGCCAGAATGCTCCTTAGAACTAGGATAGTGAAACTTTGTCTCATGTACTTTGGCCAGGCTATCAGGAGGGACCAGTCTCTGAAGAAAGACATCATGCTTGATAAAGTGGAAGGCCAGCAAAAAACAGACGAAAGTTCTCAACGAGATGGACTGACACAATGGCTGCAACAATGGGTACAAGCATTGCAACAATTTTGAGAGCCATCTGAGACCTGGCAGTGTGACATTCTGTTGTATATAGTACCACTGTGGTTGGAACCAACCTGATGACACCGAACAGCAGCAATCAATCTTGAGATGGGTGAGATTCTCCTATATCATCCCAGATGTTGTGGTTAGGTGCCAGAGAATCAGTTCCTACTCATAGCAGCCTTATGCACAACAGAACTAAACACGGCCCAGTCCTGTGTTATCCTTACAATTGTTGCTACACTTGAGTTCATTGCTGCTGTCATAGTGCCAATCCATCTTTTTAGGGTTTTTATCTTTTTCACTGATACTCCACTTTATCAAACATGATCTCCTTCTTTCAGAGACTGGTCTGAAGCTTGAGAGATGAAGTCTTGCCATCCTGGCTTATAAGGAGCAATCTCATTGTACTCCAACACAGATTTGTTTGCTCTTCTGGCAGTCTATGGTACATTCAATATTCTTTGTTGTTGTTGTTGTTAAGTGCTGT